CATGCCTTTCCCAGCTGAAGTAGGCATTATGCCAGCAAGGGAAATGACAGTCCATTCTAACCCTAGCCTCTCTTTTAAATTCCAGATGGACATTGGACAGCTCCCATCTTACAGCGGTAAAATTTGGTGATGGTGATGACGATGGAGGTGGTGACAATAACGGATTCAGCGTCAGGTGCCATGGGATAGTGGGGGGCAGATTTCATGGAAGAGCTAGCATTTAGAGCAGATCATCATGGAAATTGTGGCAGAGGGCAGATTACAGACTTAAGGAATATGGTAAGAAAGTTCATGGAGGTAAGGCAGTGCATGGAGCCATTCTGAGAAGCTTGGACTTTATGGACAATGGTTGGTCGTGAAGAATTTTGAGGAGGGCAATCCATGACATAATCTTTAAAAGGCATCTATGGGAACACTTGGGTGGCTCAGTTGGTTAAGCGTCAGCCTTCGGCTCAGGTCATGATCCCAGAGTCCTGGGATCCAGTTCTGCATCGGGCTCCTTGCTCAGCAGGGAGCCTGCTTCTACCCTGCTTGTGCTTGCTCTCTGACAAATAAATAAAATCTTAAAAAAAAAGGGCATCTGTGGAACTGTGCTCTCTAAAACAGTAGTCACTAGTCACATGTGGTTATTGAGCTCTTGAAATGTAGCTAGTAGTTGAAATGTAAGTAAGTGTAAAATATACACTGGATTTTGAAGACCTAGCACAAAAATATGTAAAAATACTTCAATAATTTTTATGTTATGAGTTGAAAATATTTTGGATACATTCAACTCAATAAAATATATCATTAAAATTAATTTCATTAGTTTCTTTTTAATTTTTAATGAAGCTACTAGAAAATTTAAAATTACCTACGTGGCTGACTTTATACTTTCAATGGACTGCGCTGGTGTGGAGGCTGGCTTGAGGAAAGAAAGAACTGAAGACCAGGAGAAGACAGGAAGTTATAGTGAAACCCTAAGACAAGGGAGGATGAGGGTTAGATCTAAGGCAGTGACCCTGGGAATAAACAGGAGACAACAGGTAAAAAGGCTTTTAAAATAGGACTTGGCGGGCGCCTGGGTGGCTCAATTGGTTAAGCAACTGCCTTCCGCCTGGGTCATGATTCCGGGGTCCTGGGATTGAGTCTCACATGGGGCTCCCTGCACAGCGGGGAGCCTGCTTCTCTCTCTCCCTCTGCCTGCCACTCCCCCTGCTTGTGTGTGTGCTGTCTCTCCCTGTGTCAAATAAATAAATAAAATCTTTTTTTTTTTTTAAGATTTTTATTTATTTATTTGACAGAGAGAGATATAGCGAGAGAGGGAACACAAGCAGGGGGAGTGGGAGAGGGAGATGCAGGCTTCCCGCCGAGCAGGGAGCCCGATGTGGGGCTCGATCCCAGGACCCCGGGATCATGACCTGAGCCGAAGGCAGATGCTTAACGACTGAGCCACCCAGGTGCCCCAATAAATAAAATCTTAAAAAAAAAATAGGACTTGGCAATGATTTTTCTGGATATGGGGATTAGAAAGAGGGAGTAGACAAGGTTGCATGTTAAGTGTCTCGTCTGGGTGATGGAGAAGATGAGGAGGAGGGTTTTTAGAACTTGATGCATGTGGGTTTCAGTGTGGACCTGCATGTGTAGGAAGCAATGGGGAATTCAGATGAGAAGCTCGAGAGAGAGAACAGAGTAGATTCAGGAGTCAACAAGCAAGAGGTGACAGCGGAAGCACAGATACGGGTGAGATCTTTGAGCTCACTCACAGAGGGAGAGTGGAATGAGAATGAAGCACAGAAAACTGGGGTCATGATGGAGGTTAGGGCTCAGAATTTAAGATGTGGGCGGGAGAAGAGAGGTTGGCTGAGCTTGACTGAGGCTAGTCAGGGAGGACCCAGGAGACCCTGGTACCACATAGACCAAGGGAGATCTTTCCAGATGGAACAGGTTTACAAATGCAGGAAGTGGAGGCTGTTGGCCAGGCTGTCTCAAGGAAGCCACCAGGTGGTGTTTGTTGGGAGTTAAGGCTTTGATGAGTCACCTGAAGGCAAAGGTTAGGTTGCCAAATGTCCAGCAGGGGAGTGGCAGGTGAGGAAGGGGAGACTACTGGTGGAGGGGAGAACTCCTTGAAGAGGTCTGGACACTGGAGAAGGCTGGTGGGGACTGGGAGGCTGCGGAGGGGGAGCCAGCACAGGGCTGCGGACAAGGATTGTTAGGCGAAGGGTGAAGGAGGGAGAGAGTGAGGATAGAAGGAGGGGCAATAATTGATAAAGCAAGGCCAAGAGGATGAATTGGGGGCAGATGTGTGAAAATATCACATCTGTTAGTCTTTCATCTATTTTTTTTCCAAATAAATACTTAATAGCCACATCTCCCAAAGTCCACTCGAGGATCTGACCTTTCCGCAGGCTCGGTCCAGGTCCAGGGCAGATGGGGGAGGGAGCAGGGAGTTTGCAGCATTGCTCTTGCAGACAACTGTCCCCCACGGGCTTGGACAGTACACCTCCCCTGTGGGCCTGCGGCTTGGGAGACCTCCCGCTCGCGGGCTCTGTGAACGTCCACTCCGGAAGGCCTGCCTGCAAGCCCAGACCACTTCTACTCCGACATCTAGCACCTCTGCCCAGAGCCCACGCAGAAGAGAGGCCTCGCGTCCCTCCCGAATCCCGAGCTTGGGCTCGAGCTGCAGCGCCCGGCCTTCCCCGGCAGGGGCGCTGGGAACCCGCGGATGGCCGCCTCCGGTCCAGCGCCCGATCCCGCGCCCAACTCAGCCTCCGGTGCCGCAACTTTTCTTGGGGTGTTCCGCCGCCCGCGGGCTTGGGAAACCCCGACTCCAAGACCCGGCTCATTCTGGGCTGTCTCCGGCTTGGTTCTCCGGCCCAGCCTCCTCGGTTCCCAATTTCCGAGTTCAGCTGCGGTTGGAAAAGCATGTTCGCCAGGGTGTGGGCTCCCGGGAACCGCTGGTTGCCTCCCTCCGTGGCCGGCTCAGATTCCCAGGCCGCCTCTGCCTCCTCCATCCCTCTTGGCCCTCCCCGGGCGCTCTTCCACCTCTTCTTTCTTTCGCCTTTCCTTTCGCACCATTATCTCGCCTTCCCTCCTCCACCTCATTTCTCCTCTCTTCTCCCTTTCCCTTTTCGCTCTTCCCCTCCGTTCGCTTCTCTTCCCTTCGCCCCGCCTTTCTCCTCTCCCCTCTTCCCGGGTTTTCCTCCCTCTGGCTATGAACTCTTCCTCTAATCCCGAGGAGAGGAAGGGCCTTCAGGCCGTCACGCTCTCCGAGCCCCCTCTCTCCATCCCACTCCTTTCTGAACAACCCCTCCTCCAGCTCCGCGCTTCTCGCCTTCCCACCCTCTAGAAATCACGGGAGCTTCTCGGAGGCGGCGGGCGGCACTATGTGCCGGGGCCTGTAAACCACATTTCCTCCTCGTCCTCGAGTTTAGCTTCCCTCTCTCCGAAGTCTCCCTTTTCCTACAGGGCGCCAAGGGTCCTAGCCCAGATTGCGTCCCACGCGCCCAGGCTGCGCTTCTGCAGCGGGGTACGAGGTGCTGGGGCCGGGGATCTGATCAGCCCGCGCTGCGCTGCGCCGCACCGGGGTCCTCTCACTGGCAGTCGGCGCTTTGAAGGAACAACTAAGCCCGCTCAGAAACGAATCTAGGAAGAGTGAGGGCGCGACCTCAATCCCAGGCTAGAAGATGGGGGCTGGATTCCCCCCACCCCCGCCCCCCGTGGGAACGAACGAGCTCCACTGTCTTTCCTAAGCTCCGACCAGGGGTCCCAGGAAGGAGAGCCGGGGATCCGGGAGAGCTGGCAAACCCCTGGCCCTGCCGCCGGCGCCTCCCTTTTCTCTCCCCTCGCCCTCCAGGAGGTTTAAGGAATAACCAGGTTGCATCCGCGGGCGGTGGGGGAGCATGGGTGCGCGGGGCGCCAGGAGGAGGGGGCTATCCAGGGCGGCCTGCCTCGCTCTCAATATCGCCTTTCTGAGGACTCGCAAGCTCAGGAAATGCAAACACAGCCCATGCGTGATCCGCGCGCGCCCACAGCCCGAGCGGACCCCTCCCCGCCCCCCACCCCGTGGCTCACACTAACACGCACACATACGCGTGCAAACGCGCACGCACGGGACCGCGCGCCCCCGCACACCAAAGCAGCCCCGGGCTCCGCCAGGTGCCCCCACCCCGCGGCGCCCGCCAGCCCTGGCACACCCCTCGCTTCACCCTCTCCCGCCTGCGCGCACGCACGCACGCGCACGCACGCAGTCCCCGCGCCCCCGCACCGGGCGGGGGCGCAGGCCGTGAGGGGCGGGGGGCGGCGGGAGGGGCGGGCCCGGGAGTAGCGAGCGGAGTCCCGGGTCCATCCCGCGCTCGGCTTCCGCGCGCTGCCTTCCCACGCGAAGGCTCTGGTCTCCCCCTCGGCTTCCGAACCCGAACAGTTGGCGCTGAAAACACTTTACTCCTCCTCCTTCGAGACCCCCCACCCTCCCCGCGCGCCATCTCCCGTTCCCCACAACAGGCCCGAAGAGTAACCCCCCAAACGCGGCCAGAAGCCGCTCCCAACTCTTCGGCGGGAGCAGGTTGGAGGCTGGATTTCGGAGAGACTCTGGATTGGGGTCCGTCGCCAGCCCCTCCTCCTGGATCCGGCTTGATTCTCATGTTTTAAAAAAGAGGATTTTTCTCATTACCTTTGAACACTCCTCTTAACAAAAATTTTTGGAGGAGCTCGGTGAGGAATATTTGGGGGGATCTTATTTTAAGGGGGGAAAAGCACCGAGGGGGTATTTATTAATTTTCTTGGGTTTTGGAATCACCCTTTGGACGAGAGAGCGAGCGATCCAGAGCGAGGAGGGAAGAGCGGAGAGGACCCGCGAGGCGCGCCAGCCCGAGCCACCTCCTTCCCGGCCGCCCCCTCCCCACTCCCCCCGACACACACTCGCTCGCTGGCTCGCCGGCGCGCGCACACCCCCCGCGCCGGACCCGCACCTCGGCGGGCGCCACACTCTCGGCAGCCCGAGCCGCGGCAGCCGCAGCGGGATGGAGGCAGCGCGCACGGAGCGCCCCGCAGGCTGGCCCGGGGCGCCTCTCGCCCGGACGGGGCTCCTGCTCCTGTCGACGTGGGTCTTGGCCGGCGCCGAGATCACTTGGGGCGCGACGGGCGGTCCTGGGCGCCCCGCGGCCGCGGCTTCGCGGCCCCCGGTGCTGCTTCCTCTCTTCCCGCGGGCAGTGGTAAGCCAGTGGCCAGAGGAGCTGGCGACGGCGCGGAGAGGCGCCGCACTGGGGCGCCGGCCCGGACCTGAGCCGCTGCCCCAGCCAGGAGGCGGCAGCGGCAGCGTTGGAACGAAGCAGGGAGAAGCCGGGGGACCGTCGCCGGCAGGCGCGCGGTGGGGCCAAGGCACCCCGGTTCCGGGCAAGCCTGGCGGCGCGAGGAGGAGTCGCCGGGCGCAGCCCTCCCGTGCCCTGGAACGCGGGGACGCCCGGGCCACTGCCTTGGCCGATGGTTCCAGAGGAAGCCGCCCTCTGGCCAAGGGTCTCCGGGAGGAGGTGAAGGCGCCGCGGGCCGGGGGGGCGGCGGCCGAAGAGCTCCGGCTGCCCAGCACCTCGTTCGCGCTGACCGGGGACTCGGCCCACAATCAAGCCATGGTGCACTGGTCGGGACACAACAGCAGCGTGAGTACCTGCCCGGCGGCGGATCTGCCTGTCTCCTGACAGCAGGGCTGAATGGAGGGCGGGAACGGGGGACAGATAGTTGCTGGAGGGTCGAGGCAGAGGCGGGGGCGCCCTGACTTGTAGAGAGAACAGGTTCATCCGGCTTCCCCCACGCCCCCAACAGGTTAGCGGAGTTTGTTGTAAGATGGTGTGTACGTTTGTTTGCTGGAGACCCTAGGTTTGGGGCCGCCCGGAGGGGAGGGGAAGAAGTGTCTTAAAGATGAGCAGGGAAGGGATCTGTGGTCCCTTTCCCTGGTACTCAGCTTGGAGAGTGGGTTTTCCCGTCCGGCGCTTGAATTCGTGGGTGAGGACGCGGCCTGAATTGGCAAGCTGACGGATTCCTGCGACTGCCGAGCCTCCCCCCCTTCTCCCCTCCAATCACGCGAAAGGGAACCCGGGAGCTGGAGGCCACTCGGACTTCCAGACTCCTGTCGGCCTTAGGGTCGCTGCTGTCTGCTCCAGGGGCGCTTTCTCCCAGCCCGGGGGAAGGCTGCGCCTAGTCCGCCCGAGCCCGGCCGGGCCTTCAGGTCACACTGAGTCCCCCTTCAAAACCCAGGCAGCTGTCTGGAAAGCTACAGGAGAGGCAGTAAAAAAAAGTTTAAAGCGTGAAGTGAAATTCAGCACCCATTCCGCACCCCTCACCCTTACGCAAGAATAAGTACACTAAGTCTGAACAAAAAACCCCCGCCTCGGCCGCTGTGTCCCGCATCACAAACGGCTCCCGGAGTGGAGTTGGGTCCCCATGCTTTCTGCGCACCTCTCCCCTCTCCGCGGCCAGGTTCCCCTGAGAGCAGCTGTACCGACAGGTGGCGCCCTTGAGTCCACTCCGGCGTCGGGCTCGCAGCCCGGGCGGCCCGGGCGGCTACTGCAGCCCGCAGAGCGTTCTCGGAGAGGCTTCCTCAACCCCGCCGCCCGCCGGGGCCCGGAGCCGTGCGGCCACGCCGAGAAACCGCGGGGAACGCTATCTCCGACGGAGGTGGGGGGGCGGCCTCCCGCGATCTCTCTCACTCCCCTCCCGTCCACGGCCCCCCACTTTCAGCCAGTCTTGCAAAAATCCTTTCCTCTTCTCTGGCTCTCCGGATCAAATCAGAACCCGGCGTTGGGCAGAGTCTGGAGGATGATGGATGTCCGTATAGGCAGCTTTGCTCATTTGATCGGAAAGCACCGCCCCTCCCCTTTGTGTTTCTCTTTATGACTGGCATTAAAGATTTCCCTGGAAAATTCTGGCCTTATTTTAAAGGGGCCCGGGGGTGTCACAGGGGTAAAGAGTGAATAACAGGAAAGCCAGGAGTCCGCAGAGTGTACCACATCGGCGCTGCTGAGTACAGATTTCCTGGTTCTTAATGACACACAGCACAGATCGGGCAGCCCAGCCCGGGTACAGATGCTGGCTTGGAAGGATTTGCGAGGTCTGTTTGCCCACCGGCGCGGTGGCTGGCTTCATCTGCCTCCAGTGAAGACCTCCGTAGCTTCGGAATGCACAACTCTGGGCATGGGGAGGGGATGGGTATGGAGTGCCTTGGCAGGGATGGGTGAAGACTTGCAAGTCCCCAGAGGAGAGAGGGAGAGAGGGAGAGGTAATTCTCTGACAGCAGGGCCTGTGAATCTCAACTTCGTTTTAGTTTGAGAATGAGGAATTGTGTATGTGTGTGTTTGTTCACGTTCATACTGGGTGAGAAGGATGAAGAGGATGGGTGGGAGTGAATGTATCCCTAGGAGGAGGAGGTGCTGTCCTCACATATCTATGACTTTATTACTGTCACATTTGGACAATATAAATTCACTCTACTTAGTTTTCTTATGTCTGTGCTTTTATTTTAAGGATTGTTTTTTTTGTGTGTTGACTTACCGGTGGGACTTTGGAGAGGATGCTTTTTGCAAAACGTGTGAATGGCCTTCTCTGCCCATCTTCCATGCAGAGGTGCAGCAGAGGAAGTGAGGGGGCAAGTCTAGCCCTAGGGCACCCCCCCCCGGGGGAAATGGCTTGTAGTTGAAAGAGGGGCAGAAGCGCCTGGGGAGTGGACTAGTTGGCCTTGGAGCCCTTAGTGACAGCAGTGAGATTTGGGAAATCCAGGAACAGCCCTCAGGATGCTTATTGGTTGTGTTCTTGGCCAATCTTAACTGTCCAAGCAAAGGACAAGGTAACACACATGGGTGCAGGGACCCCATCCTGTCGTCCTGTCCTTTCTTTCTGGTGGAGAGCGACTGCCTCCTGAGCACCTGGGCTGGATCTGCCTCTTCCGACCATACTGTGCAGGCAGTATCAGTGGGAAAGTCTTCACTGAGTATCAGGTCTGTGCTGCTCTGAGAGAAAGAGGAGGGAACATGTTCACGGGGCCCTGTCTTTGATGGACTTTAAGGAAACATCCCTGTGAGAGGAATGGGGAAACCAGTGTCTGCAACATGACTAGGTTGGTTTTGTTCCTGGTCCCCCTTTCCTGAAGACAGGAAAGGAAGATGCTGTAGATAAAAGCCAGGGTGAGGAGTGATGGGGATGATGAACTTTCCAGAAGCTTCCCTCATCATTGGTTTCAACGTGGAGGGAGATGTCCTAGCACCAGGCTCCTTTGGCATGAAAAGAGTTCCATCGTCTCTTCTGACTTCCACAGTACTAAACATGTCCTTTTCTGGGAAGGCCACTAGCTTAATTGTGAACACTTTGGGGTTTCCTGGCCTCCTACCAGGTGCCTTTGGTGGACCTCATTACTTGACATGAATTCCCTTTGGGGGAGGGTTTTCAGTCAGCCCATATAACTGAAATCAAAGTCCACTCTGACGGTTCGCAGTCAGGCACGTAGGGCTGGACATGCTCGGCTCCATTTGTCCAGCTGTGCCCCGGGGACTGCAGGAGGCAGAGGGAAATCCTTGTCCAAGGCTGGGGTCATGGATTCCCTTTGGTTCAGGGACTGTGGTCAGATAGCTTGGGGGCAAAGGAGGAAGTGCCCGGAAGGCTTGAGCCAGAAGCTGTCAAGAAGGGGCTGGAGACTGGGTCCCTCTCTGACCATTACTACCCGGCCAGGTGGTCCCGGGTGAGAGGTGAGGGGACTTGGGCTCAGAGCCTCTACTCCGGAGGGCTGGTAAATGCCAGTCTCCAGCTGGGTTCCTGGTGATTAATGGGCAAGAGAGTGTTTCACACACCCCGAGGGAGCTCCATCCCCAGGGCTTGTAGGGAAACAGAAAAAAAGCCACATCATTCTGCCCTTCTCCTTCCAATGAAGGAAGATGCCTTCTGCTTGCTCAGTGAATTGGCAAAGCAAATGGCTCTGGAGACTGCAAAGTTGTGAAGGAGACGGTCCACTTTTCCATGCCCCCTCCTCCTTGGAGTAACCCTGGCCAGGGACCCCCCCCCTTCCTGGTGCTGAGTTGAGAATGCTGCGTTCTCCCTTGGAGGACCCCTTCCCTTTCCAACAGCTCACTGGCGGTGGAGAGTGATTTGCAGGCTGCAACCCCTGCAGTTTGTGTCTGGTTGGAAGGACTTCAATTAATGTGCCCAACAATGCACCTTGGTGAAGAGAAGCAGGGAATGCTGCAAATTCCGGGTCCCCTCCAGATCACCCTTCCCTAGCACGCGAGGAGGTAGAACACACAGATGCTCCCAGGCAGGATTTCATACCTTTAACTAATTCAGCTGGACTGTGTTCTAAAATATTTACTTCCAGTGTGCAAAATAGTGACAGCTTTGATCAGATTAATGTATTTCACTCACTGAAGCAGCTAATTGTGGTTCTCAAACAGATTTTTCAAATAGCTTTTGGCTGGATTGTCTCGCCTTCATCGTCCCTGCTCACAATCCTTGTGTCACAATATCTTAATGCATTTTTGCCTTCTCAGAGGCTTAATAAAGAAGCCTGCCGCCGAAGCCGTTCTTCAGGGGTTTGACAAAAAGAATCTGTTTTTAATTAATATTACAAGGGGGAGCCTCTCCTTTGAGATAGAGCTGGGAAATGCGGGACAGAACAGGACTAATTGCTCCTGGTCACTGTTGGCCTGGGGCTGGGGGTGGGGTGGGGAGAGGAGGGGGCAGGACAGGAGGCTATTTGTCTCTATTTGTCTGCTCTGCGTTTCTTCTGATGGCTGGGTTACAGGGTGTGATTTGCTTCTCAGATCCAGCAGTGCTTTCCAAGGTGAGCAGAATTTGCAAACTCTTCATTGGGAGGCCTGATTGCAGAAATGCAGTGGTTGGAACTTGCTTCATAGTTGGCAAAGGAGGAGTGCTGGGAAGTGGCTTCCCCAGTTGTGTTGGATTTAAGGGCGGTGGGGGAGGGGGTGGATTGTGGCTCCAGTGACAAGAAGACTCGGGCCGGGGGGGGGGGGGGGGGCACAAGGGAGAACTGCGTTTTCCTTGGGCCGTGTACATCTGTTATTGTCACTGAGGATTTTTGGAACTGGATGATAGGCTGGCCCTGAATCATCCGGTAAGGAGCACAGAGGTGCGAAAAGCCAGACCAGCTGAGATAAGAAGATGCACCCGGGGTTTATCCAAGGCTGGGTATACCTGAGGCCTGGTGGCTTGACTCACTTGTTGATTTCCTGCTTTCTTGGGCCTCTTGGCAGGCTTGAGACACTTCCTTACAGTGGGAAAACGTCGAAGGATAATTTTTCAGCAAGTTTGGGGGAAAAGATGGGCGCCTGGGTGGCTCAGATGGTTAAGGGTCTGCCTTCAGCTCAGGTCATGGTCCCAGGGTCCTGGGATCGAGTCCCGCATCGGGCTCCCTGCTCAGCGGGGAGCCTGCTTCTCCCTCTGCCTCTCTCTCTCTGTCTCTTATGAATAAATAAAATCTTAAAAAAAAAAAAAGAATCTATAAAAAAAAAAGTTTGGGGGAAAAGAGGTCTTATGGATTTGGAGGTGGAACATAGGGGATGTGAGCATCAGCCGGCCACCTTGGATGGGCGGAACCGGCATGTGGGGAAGGGGCTGGGTGCAAGCTGGCTAGCCATGCCCACACCCTGGTGTGGAGGGT